ACAACCTATTTTATAAACATCAGCCCTGCCACAGAATTGCCATTTCCTCTGCTAAATAAACGCCAAGGGAAAGCTGTGGGAAAAAAAATATTCGTGGAAAATCAGGAAGTTAGTCTTCAAATCGGGTAAGATCGTTACAGTGCACAGGCTTTTAAGGACTCACAGTTGCCTGAAGAAAACACTTCATAAATTCGTAAGACTCCAGGGTCAATTGGTGCATGCAAGTGAGCATAAATGCCAAACTACATCTCACAATATCAGGTGACTAATGCACAGGTAGGAAGGAAAGCCCAGAATGTAAACGCCTAATCTCGCTCACTTCCAGTCCGTATCTGATGAAATGCCACGGAACAAGGCCCCTCTTTTTGCAAAGGCTGCAAGACTTGGTGCAAAGGCTGTTTCCCCTCCCTGTGTTTTGATTCTGCTGCCACGCGGGTGCAAACCAGTAACTGCCACCTCCTTTAGACGCGAGGGTTTTCATCAGCGTGTCTCAGGGTTCACCTGGAAAACAAGTATCACATTTTCCAGCTGGCACCATTTGCTCAAATTCATCCTGCGTTACGTTGCAAAGCTCTTTCTGGAGTCCAGATCTCCTTAAAAAAAGCATTATTAATAGTTTAACGTTCCAACTTTCCACCTTACTCTAAAATAACGACCATTCTGTTAAATCCTGCAGGTGTTTTTCACACATGCAGCCCCACTGATGTCACTAAAAGCATTCACATAACTAGGGCGGGCAGGAGTTTTTTCATAGGGGAAATAATATTTTGTGAGGGGCAGAGATTTGCATTGCAAATTTTAGAGAAGTCATAAATTATATTGAGGAAAATATTATTAAGCTGGAACTAATACTGAATAACCTTTATAACTGCATGGCTAAGGGTATTTTTACGAGTAATGACTTCACTTGCTGTTGAAGAACTCAGCTGTTGCTGATTTAAAATAGCTAGACCATTTCAGAAAGTGCCAGTAGGAGGTTTTATTCTTACTGGTAGAGAGTGAGAATTTAGCCTTGGGTATCTCTAATCGAAAAACAAGCAGAGTAAGGATAATAAGGGATCCTGCTTAAGAAAAGGGAGGAAAATTGGGTTCCTATAAATGCATCCAGGATGACTGGGATTCCATGTTAAGAGCACATCTACCAAGCAGACATTACCACTTACAGCACTGGTATAAGAAACATACAGTGATATATTCCCAAGGGAACACTGGATTCCATCAGAGCAGTTAAGATCCTTCAGAGGTTCCTCCACCCTTGCCTTGAGAAAGCTTTGCCCATCAGATCCCAAAGGGTGAACTGAAGAGCTCTACTGAAGAGATCAATCTAAGGGAGTTACCAGGAGGACATGGAATTCTTGCATGGAATTCTTCAGGTTCCAAGGTATAAATTCCCTATAAGGAATTCCCTATAAGGGAATTTATAAGGGGGGTAAATTCTCTTGCAAGGGGGTCAGTTCTCTTGGGGATACTGGGAGTGCTCAGAGGGCCTTTGTGGAAGTATCAGACCACTGTTGGAGGAGGAATTGGAAGGACATTGCTGACCAGGCAATTGGCCACCTCATGGTGCACTTGTCCCGTTAGGGATGTCTGGTAGGTTCAGGACACATATCTGGTTGGGGCATTCACTCCTAGTGGGTTATTACTAGAGTTTTGACAGGTACTGGTTCTCCTTGGGATACCAAGGTAATTATAGGAATATCAGGTGGGTTTATGGATCCTGGCTTGAGGCAGGATCAGAACGAGGGGTGGGTTCGCAGCACATCCCTTTTGGAAAACTGGGGCGGTTCAGAGGAACAGCAGGATTTGGGTTTCAAGACTATCGAGTGAGTCTGGGGATACTCCTTCCCTGGAGGCATCACACGGGTTGGAAGTGGAACCGAGTGGGCTCAGACCTACTGGATCCCCTGGGAGTCAGTTTGCAGTGGATCATAGGGCAGGGTCAGTGCAATTCAACAGGCTGTGTGGTTAGCCAGAAAACTCTGAGAGTCTCAAACGAGCCTGAGGGAACCCAGCTCTCCAAAGGTCAATTTGAGGAAGTGTCAGATGGATGCAAGATGCAGAGGGTTCCCTGGGAGAAGCTCAAGAGTCCCCTGGAGAGCTGGCCCAGGGAATCCTTCCAGCCCATCCCGATGGAACCAGGTCTATTGGGAGGGCTTAGGGATGGGGGTCAGGGGCTACCAGGTGGCCTCAGAGAGCAGCAGGTCCCCCCTAACTGAGCTTGGGGGCATCAGCTGGGTTTGGGAAATAGCAAATCCCCCAGGAACGAGTCCAGAGGGTATCGAGCACCCTGGGGAAAGGGAGATGAGCTCAGGGGCTACCAGCATCCCGGGGGTCCCCTGCCAAGGCACCAGCTCCTGTGGAGGGGTTAGAGACAACACGGACTACCGGGTCCCCAGGGAAGCGGGGGCAGTAGGTACAACTTCCCCTGGGGGATATTTGGTATATTTGTAGAAGGGGACTGGAGATGTGCTAAGTTTCCTGGGAAGAACTGCGCGAGATTTGGGGATACTGGATCTCCTGAGGGAATGAGGTAGAGGGGCAAGACAAGGGGCGGGTGTGTGTGTCGGGGGTGGCGCAGGGGCCGTGCCGCGGGGGTCGCGGAGCCCGGCGGCGGTGCCGGGGTGCGGGGCGGCGGTCGCGGCGCTCACCGTGGCGTCCCGGAGGGCGCTGCCCGGCAGGAAGGGCCGGCCCCGGCCCGGCGGCGAGCTCATGGCGGCGCCGCCGCCTCCCCGGCCACGCCGTCTCCACGGCAACCGCCGGGAGCGCCGCAGCGCGCAAGCGCAGACAAGGCGCGCAAGCGCAGACAACGCGCTTAGGGGAGGGGGGGCGTAGTGCTCTCTGCGCCTGCGCACTAGGGGAGTTAGGGGGCGCGCTGCCCGCATGCGCACTGGAGGAGCGAAAAGGCGCGAAGCGGTTGCCACGGCAACAGGAGGGCGGTAACAACATGGCGGCGGGAGGGGCCGGGCTCGTGTTTATTTAATAAGTAAACTTAATATTTAATGGCGTGTTTAAATGTTTAATGCATCGTGAAGGGTCAGGAGGCTCGCGCCTCGGTGCTTTCTTCCCGGGTGTCTTAGGAGGAATGGGAAGGGAGAGTTCCATAGAGGGAACTGACGCTTTCTCAGGGACTGAATAAGCCATAAAAGAGGAGAAATGGGGAATAAGGAACCGGGCTGGTGCTATGATGTGTATAAATACACTGCCATTATGCATGGAAATAACAAAATCTAAGCCCCTTGCTGCAAGGAGAGTGGGCGATGCCTCGGGAGGTCTGAGGAGCCCTCGGGCCATGCAGGGGCTGTTACCAGTGCATCCCTAAGGAGAATCTGAAACAAAGGTTTCTTCAAATTTGGCCTCAAATTTGCTAGTTCAGTGTCCAGGTGCCTTGTGAAGTGCTCAGGGAGCCACAAATCCCACTGCCGTCCCACGTTCCTTGCTATGGCTGCCTCAATCCTCCCTTAAATATATACCGACACATACCCTGGAGAGGCAGCACGAGCCTGGGTTGGATTTTCTCCCCCATCTCCTGCCCCCTTCAAGGGCCCACTACTTTATAGAGGCATGTTAGCAAAGATACCACTGAGAGTAAGTTTAGTGCTGTTTAGAGCTGGGGGAACCGTTCTGGACTGGGGACAAGTCTTATCTTAACCAGAACAAAACACTGAGCTACGAGATAGAGGATGAGCCAGCGCTGGGGACAGAGGCAGAGCAGGCAGCGTGTGTGAAGGGGAAGCAGGTAAAACCCTGCCTTCCAGAGCTGCTCAGCCTCCACTTCCCTCTCTGAAGGCCAAATATTGTGATTTATTCTTCCCCGACCTCGTTGCTCGGAGCATCTCTGACCGCTGCTGTGCAGAACGTGGGAGGCAGCCTCCAGCTTAGGGCCGTTTGGCAGCACTGCCGCCGAGCCCACGGTATCAGAGAGCCGCAGGGATAAGACCAAATAAAGCTTGTCACTTAGCAAAACAACCACATCAAGGTCTTGCCTCCCAGGCAACTCGCTGCTGCAATATCTGGTTCTTCTCCTCCTCGTCTCATAACATCTGAAATGACTGAAACAAAGTGTTTTTTTTCCCCCCTCTCTCATTTTGGAAGCGCTTTTGCTTTTTGCATTTGACTCTGTGTGCTTGGGATAGGCCGTTTCTCTCTTCTGCAAATAATCAACTCTATCTTTTCATGCATCAAGGGTGTGTATGTAATGCTAAGTAGCAAAGAGGGTATAATAAATACATTCTTTAAAAGAGTAACACCAGTTTCTTCTCAGGATACCACAAAATCCTATTTTCATTTCTATTTCAAAAAAAGCTAAGAGCCTGGCATTTTCTCCCGTTCCTCTAGGGTTCTTATTTTATGGAAACATAAAACTTGGGCTTGTCTGGTGAAATCCCTGTCGCTTTTGTGGACAGAAACGCGAGTCTCTGCAGAGCTGGCTAGATGCCCGCTTGGATGGGAGCATTTTTTCCAAGCCGGTCTGGAAAAGCAGCGCTGAGGGCTCTGCTTTCGTGGCACCACGGGCCAGTTGTGGCCTAAAGCGAAGACATCTCGCCCTCTGGTGGGCGAAAACACCAGAAAAACTAAGCCTGGGTCCGCATCTTGCACGAGATTACAATTAAAATGGCCAATGTGGTGGTTATAGAAGGAAATAGTGCAAATTTCTTAAGCGATGAATTCACAGTGAGTGGGTATCGCTCATCGGATGATGAACTTGAATCCCTATAATCAGTGTCAGGGCAGTCGTTCTGCACCTCCTCTGTGGAAAAGGGAATGATAATCACATAGTTACTGTGAAGCCTGGAAAAGGCTCAGAGATACACAGATAAAACCACACCTTACTGTTAATTGTTATTATAATTATCCACTCCTACTCTCGAAGGCCGATTTTTCCTCCTAATGACTCATAACCTTCTCTGGCTTTGCTTTTCTGGATTTCACACCACGCCAGTCATTTTGTTTTTACACATTTCTATTTTCACTGAGGATTTTAAATAATGATCAGTAAAGTACAAAGCTTAAAATATGGTCAATATTTTCAACAATACAAAATCAGCAAAGGGAGGGGGTTAGGAACGGAATGGTTAATACATAACATTCGTACCCTTCCCTGTTTTCCCAGGGAAAAAAATACAAACGCTTTTGTACTTATTTAGTAACAAACAGTGCTTAAAAACAATCTTGTCAGTAAAGGACATAAATAGCAAGGCACGTGCAGAGCCTGTCCTTGCCCTGCTGCACAAATGAAACAGCATAAATATAAGTTTAAGGCACCTCTTTCCATCCTCTCCTCCTTATAACAGGCAGATTCTGCCAGTGGGTACCAGTTAAAAGCAACCACGAGCAGCAGGTAGCTGAGAAGCTGTTTTTAATCCTCTGGTTCCCACAGGGTGAATCCCAAAAGGGAACAGCATAAGGCACATGGGGATAAGTTCTCAGTTGACCCATATGGACCTGGGGCTACAGGAAATGCTGCCTCAGGACTGGAGATTCCTGTGGGAGAGGGTTAGGACGTCGGTCCCTTCATGGCCCACCCTCAGAAGTGGTGGTCTTTGGTGGCCACCTCCACCAAAGCCCTGCAGCTGCTCGCATCCCTCCTGGCCGTGCCTCCTTGGAGGAACACCAGGATGGGAGATGTGCTCCAAAGCGGGAGGTCTGGAGATGCTTTTGGAGTGTCCCTCGCAGTGGTGTTTCTGCTCTTGCAGGACTCGGTCATGATCTTCTCCCCTAGATCAGGGGCAGGGCTTGCAGGAGGGCATCGGCAGCCATCTCCCCGTCCCAGCCCAGCAGCCTGCAGAGCACACAGAGTCCGTACAGGTAGGGCAGCAAAAGGCACAAGGATGAATTCTTGGGGTGAGGAGAAGAAATAAAGGTGGTTGCAGAAAGAGGAGGAAGGAGACACGGATGGAGGAAGCTCCAGTGCAACACAAGAGTGCATCCCCGCAGCAGCAGTGATCCACGTTGCCATTCCCTGCAGAATCAGCCTATCATAGTAACCGGGAGGTCAGCTCCAGGTCTGAGTGCAGGGCCACACTGGGGACACTGGTGGCATCACTTGAGGCGTAACATGGAAACAGGCAAAACCACCACCACCACCATGCGCACAATTGTTCCAAAAGGAGAAAAGTTTCACTTCTCTGGGACCATTTTGGAGATGGTGCAGGGTGACCGACCAGAACCGCCAGAGCAGCCTCTCGCCTCAGAAGAGCCATAAGGCACCTCCTCTCCCTGGTGAGAGGAACTGGATGGCAAGGTTGTGTTTATCCTCCTTTGCCTAGGGCAGCACATGTCAACTATTTTCAAACCTTTAGAGAAGGAAAGGCCTAGTTATCCCTGTCTGCAGGACCAATATCACCCTAGCTGAGCAGCAGGGTTTATTTTTAGCAGCAGTGCCTACTCCTTCTCAGATTTAGCACAGAAAGGGGTGATAGACCAACCTGGCTTATTCCCCTTCCTGCACAGAAACACGTTTATATTAACCAGCCAAACCCACACTGGTGGCTTACTCTGCTTTAAACTCCTAAAAAAATAAAAATAAAATAAAATAAAAAAGGTAAGGGAGGTTTGATAAGAAACATTATTTCCCACTGGAAGCTGTTCCCCAAAATGGGAGGAGACGCACAAGGAAAGTCATGGGGACTGTGGAGAGGAGAGTCTGTCAGTGCAGCTGGGCCAGTCAAGCAACCAACCGCTGTTGCAAGGAAGAGCTGCTGTTTGCAGCTCCTGCGTACCCAGCCCTTCCCTGCAGGCAGCAGTGCTGTCCAAGTGAGCTGGATGAAAGTTAAAAACAGTAAAAAATTAGTGGCTTTTGTTTTTCTTCTTTTCAATCAGGTTTGTCTGTCTGCACGGGCACACTCTGAGGTCAGAAGAGCTTCTGCGCGAGGGAAGGACAAGGTGTTAGTGGGACTGTTCCTTTTCCCTGTAGGTAGGTCAGTGTAGCTGTACCGTCAAAATATACGGTAGGCAACCGAGCCATTAACAAGTTTTATGTGCTCCTAGCTGGGCTAAATGTGAAGGAAGAGGCACAGTGAGGAGAAGGGTTGGACTACGTGACTTCTTTCCTATGACTTCATCTCCAGTAATCAAAAATAACCTCCTGCTTTTGTGCTTAGCTTGTCAATAAGGCCACAAGTTTCAGATGTCCACACGACACGACGTGACACAGCAAACCACCTAATAAATAGATTAGTTTTCAGATATCCTGTTTTCTGCTTCTCCTTGCTCCTTCATCATCAAGGCACTGTTTCCCTCAGACTGATCTTGTTACAGCCAGGAGGCTCTGCAGATATAAAAGCCCAAATCAAAGCCTTTCTGAATATTAAATCACTCACATGCACAAACACACACACACTCCAGTAGTTAAAAAACAGATCAAGAGCAGAAGTCAGTGCTTGTCATAACCAACCATATCCCTGCCCCTAAACTCTGCCTGCCCAGTACCAGCAAACACAATTCGTTTGCCTGCCTTTGGATCCAGCGGGACAAATCTGTGGCTGGAGTAGATCCCATAATTTCTTGGCTTTCAGGAAAGATTTGCTCCTGGAAACTGGCACGTAAGGCTGCAGTTCCTGCATAGGGTACAGCTGGGAGGACCCGTGCTAAGGTCTGTCATAGAAAGCCAGCAGCAGGCTGAGCAGCAGGTATTTAGGCTGCTTGGGACCATGTGTCCACTTCAGTTCTGAGCATTCAGGACTGATTTGCTAAGAGTGTCAGTGCAACAACGGGGCTCCTCGATCTGATACTCCCATAAGGGCAAAGGGGATTTGTCTACTTGGGGACACAGCAAATCAACGCTCACATCAACTACACCTTGGACAGGAGTGTCCCATGGCCATGAAGTGTCCCCGTCCAGCTATCAATCATAGCTATTCCACATGGGAAACACAGGTCTCAAGGACAAACACATCCTAAGGTTACATAAGGACCCTCATGCTGAATGGAACCCCTACTGAGAAAGGGCCTATCCTGTTATCTCTCTTGGGGAATGTCTGACTTGCTGTTTTTATTATTATTTTTTTTAAGTAGCTCTACTATCAATGGTGAAATCATGTAGAAAGAGAAGACAGAGTTGACCTCACATCTCCACCTCTGCCAGCAATGGCTAGATCCACACCAGTCACCAGCAGACACAGAACTCAGGTTTAGACCCAGCTCATCCTAGAGGACTCATCATAGAGACTGCTTGGTCTGCAGATATACCAGGACCATCTCAGCAACCTGGCACTGAGAAACTGAGAAGGACAAAAGTAGAGATAACCTGTCTTAACCCACTGGAGCAGAAAGGACTAATCCAGCCACTGCAACACACATGCAACTGAACCCTTGAAATGTAGACTCCCCCTGAAGTCCTGAAGTTACCCTGAAGCCTCTGCCTTCAATGGTAACAGATCCCTCCCAGCACAGCAGAGATGGCAAAACCCACACAGGCAGTCACATTCAGCCATGATCCTTAAGGTCCTTTTCCCATCTCACAGCCTTCAGGCTGCCTTTCCTGATATTCATCATGATATTCCCTGCAGGTTTTCTAGCAGGAACAAGAAACCTCTGCTGTTTCAGCATCCTCGGTTAAGTGACTTGTTCTGGCTTAAAAAACCCCATGTCCCCCTGAAGGGCAAAAGGCAGCCCCTGCTGCAAAATGCATCCAGAATGAAGTATCCAGCCCTCCACCCCAGTCCACAGGGTCCAGGTTAGTCAGAGCGTGTTAGGCAAATAAGCCAGTTATGTCCCTAATATATTATCCCCCTTTTCCTGGTTTTCACCAGACAGGTGATATCACGCTCATCATCTTCATGACTCTCTCAGGAGTCTTTTTTAAGACCCAGGCTGGCCTTGATCCTGCGTTGCAGGACATAAGCTGTGATGGCACTACAAGCCACCAGCCCAAAAAAGGAGCCGCAGGTGAGATAGATGGAGAAAGGGACATGTCTCTTTAGGAAGATCTCCTGCCTGTTCTTGTAATCCAATAATATGGCCTCCAGTTGTGAGAGGGTGCAAATGGCCAGGAATGTGTGGAAGATTTGGTGGGCATGGCCAACAATATCACAGGATCCCGGGAAGTACTTCTCAGGAACTGGGCAGGAGAAGAAATAAGCACTGATAAGGAAGAACAGTATCTGATATGTGTGGTACCAAGCAGCATCTTCCTCACAGCCTCCCAGGTGACACACTACCACCCGGTGAGCCACAGGACTGATATCCAAGATGAAGGCCAGCCCAGCTGGGATCACCTGGCACATCTTCCTCATGATGGGGTAGGGCCGCCGGTACCGATACTTGGCGTAGCAGCAGCCAGCACATGAGAGCCAGCCACAGAAAGCAGCTGCCGGGAGGAAGAAGAGCCAGAACTTGTCATACCAGGCCTGATCCGAGCTGTAGTAGAAGTGGGCAAGGGCACTACCGTACTGGTAGATGCTGACTCCGACGTAGTCCATGAAGTAGAAGGTGTAGTGGTACAGCTCTGATTTGGACTGCAGCAGGTGGGCCAGGAGGCTGCAGGTCAGGTAGGTGACGGAGGACAGGACAAAGATGAGCAAAGGCAAGGACCAGGCATCCACTGGTAACTGCTCAGCCTCCACAAACGTCTTGAACCTCAGCAGGACGGCCAGGGCTGCCAGGAGATGAGTCCACACGTTGACTACCTCATTGTGCTTTTGGAAGAGGCTAAGGAAGTAGTACCTCCACTCCTGGCCGGTGGGACGGTACCCACTGTGGATGTATGGCTCCCGGAAGAGCTGCGGCACCTCACACTCCTTCACAGTGCAAGGCATCTTCGGGAATCCATCTTCCAGCAGCTTGGGGAAGCGGCTGAGCTGCTGCCCGCTGAGGGACAGCGTGCTGATCCGCTCCAGGATGGCTGTCATCGCGCTACGCGTCGCGGCTGGGAGCTCGGCACTGGGGAATGTGGTCTTTGTACCCTAGAGGGAGAGGAGAAGGAGGAATTGTTAATGATGATGCGTCAGAAAAGAGCACACTGCACTCCCTGGCTGGGGTAAGCCATGGAGTTATCGGGATGCTGGTCATGTCCAAGGGTCTTTTCTGGGCTGGGCAGACCCAAATTCAGGATGGCAGAGCCCAGGGCCTGCAGTTATGGCTATGTCAGATGGACACAGGAATGTGACAGACCTGCTCTTCTTTCCCCACATCGTTGGGCAATCACCTTGGAGGATGTTCAGGAATTACCTGACCCCAGCAACTGCCTGCAAGGTGGTACAAGGGGCAGTCACATGCCAAGAAAAGGAAAAGAGTCAATGATTTGTAGAGGGGACAAACTAGCACAAACTGCTCGAGGACAAAACTGGGGTGTAATTGCTCATCTAAGGAATAACTTGCCTTTGTGAACCTGAGTGAAGAGACAACAATTTCAGCCAAATAATGGAGGTTACAAATAAGCCAGGCTTCCTGCCACACAGCTTGCACAGGGGGTGCTTCCCCGGGGCTGCTGCAGGGAGTGAGGAGGAGAAGGGGAGAAGTCCACAATCCCAAATCTGCCACTCTCATCCCTCCATTCTGCATGTGAGACAGTAGGAATGGGAGATGATGCAGAAAAGAGGGGCTCTTCATCACAGCTGGCTGCTATTTGGGTACAGCATCAAAGCCCTGGGAAGATCCACAAAGACATGCTGAGGGGAAGCTGGATAAGGACCCTCCCTCCTGTTCTCACATGTGCATAGATGCAAAGCTCCTATCCAAAACACAGGCTCAGAAGAGCCCAACCCCACTGCAAGAGACTCTCCTGCCTGTATCGCTCTGCTCCTTGGCAACCTCTGGAGTTGCCAAGCTCCGTCTGGGGAGATTCTGACCTCTTGGGATCATGAACCACCCAAGGTCAGTCTGGCAATCAGGAATAGAGCAGAATCTCTAATAGCTGGAGGCCAATTAAAAGCTCACAGCACTGTACCTGTGAGATCTGTACTGTGACAACCCAGTAATCTCTTTCCTTTCCACCCCAGATATTTCTCTTCTCTTACCTGTTAGCACTTATGCCTACCAGAAAAGGTGTGCTGAAATCCTCACACGGACACCCATCACCCATGCTTGACTTAATGAACTGAACATAATGCTGATGAAGATTCTGCAGAGCTGTGGTTATTTGTGTCACACATGCAAGTGGGCAGAATCGGGCCTGACTCCCAAGAGCCAGAACTGCAGTGGATAATGAATGGATAAGTAAATGCAAATGAGTATTTTGAGTGTGGAAAAATGCTTATTTCTCTTCTGTAGCATCAGATACAGCTGCTGCCAGAGTTGAGACACAGGAAGAATTGAGGTGTGTGTGACAGAAGGCTGGTCTGACCTGGAGAACAGAGGGCAGCTCCTGGTGTCTCCTGACTAGGCTGGCGACACCGGCAGTGGGAAGGTATTAAACACCAAGAGACAGTGAAACGGAGATGGGACCTGTCACAGCCTCAGGATGCGGTACCACAAAAAGCAAAGTCAGACCAGTTGCAAGTCTCACTTCCTCCAGCAACCCAAAGGCTCTGCCAACACACAAAATATTTTCATGTCACTTCCTTATTCTAGCAGATGGGGCTGGATGTCATAACTAAGAGTGGCAAAATCTAATCAGTTCTCCCTCTCCCTTCGCTTTCTAGGCTTTCACCTTTAGAGTTTATCAGGGTATTTATTATTTTATTCCCCCTGTTTGTCATGGGGGAATCTGGCTGCTGAGTTTGATGTAGTTGCCTTACTGCAGAGGGGGAAGGGAAGGATGGCCCATGCAAATGATATTTTAGCTGCACAGACGCATAAGGCTGAAGGTGCTGCAGCAACACCAGGCAGAAGGCAATGCCCTTTCTGGGGACGGGGGTTCACTTTGCACATGTCCACAGAGATTTTGTTCCTCCCAGGAGCGTCTGCAGGGCCTGGCTGTGTGTAGTTGTAGCCCTTGGGAGTGCTGAAAAGCCAAGATGACCCCTGAATCTCCCTCCAAGTTGTTCCTTTGCTCGGGAGATGAAGGCACTTGGCACTACTAGGACTGCAAAAGCGCATCTCCCTCTCGGATGGAACTTTCTTGCTGTGATGGTGACAGAGCCCTGCAACAGGCTGCCCGGAGGGGTTGTAGAAGCTCCTTCTGTGAAGATCTTCAAAACCTGTCTGGAGGCCACCCTGTGCCCCGTGCTCTGGGTGTCCCTGCATGTACAGGGGGGTTGGACTAGATGATCTCTAGGGGTCCCTTCCAATCCCAACCATTCTGTGATTCTGTGATAATATGTCTTCTACTTCCCCAACACTGAGACAACCCAAGCATGGCAGCTTGGCTCACCATCTCCCAGCTTCCCTTTAAGCGCAGTCCATGGATCTGTAGATGGTCCAAAGGACAGTCCATGAATCTATAGGGATCCATAGCCTATTGCAGACAGCCAGTTTGGCTGTGCAGTACCTAAAACTACTAAATAAGATGGGCTAAGTATTTTTCTGTGGATGTGAAGGCTAATTGGCATCACTCAGCTCCTCAGCACAGAGTTCTGCACTGCAGGTGCTGATGCCAGGATTTTGTCAGGGTGCAGGGGGCCCAATGTATACACTGAGCTTCGATGTATACACTGAGCTTCAATGTATACATCGAGCTTCAACATATGCACTGAGCTTCACCTTTGAGCAGAACCAGCGAGAGGCTGAGCACTGCTGATCTCTCAAACAGCTATGGATGGGGAAGATTCTTCCGTTACGCAGCTGGAAAGTGCCAGTGTTCAAGGGCTGAGAGAGGGTCAGACATTTTCAAAATAATAGTCCAAAATCACAAGAAACACATCTGACACCCAGATAAACAGCGCTAAATTAAGAACCTGGTAGACTGCTTATTTTAAACAGCGCTTGTGACACTAACGAGTAAGAGCGAGTTGGCAATTTTCAGCAGTCATGTGATGAACAAAGCAATGAGTAATTAATGATAGAAAAGAGAGGAAAAAAAAAGAAAAAGAAATCCAAGGTCAGCACTGGCTGTTTCACTTTCACAGAGCTTCTATTCTTTTCCTTCGTGGGGGCGTAGGACCGGCTGAAAGCCACATTCATTGGCAGGGCGTCTATTTGAGATTCTGTCCTCACCCCGATCTCCGGAGGATTCAGTTATTTTGGCTGCTCCCAATTAACAGCAACCAAGTATCATTTGTTCAGGGACCAAGCTGCAAAGAGGAGGAGGGAGTGGAGTTTAGCCAGGTTGTATCATTGCGGCCACAATAAGAATGCGCGCCCAGAAGAAGAATGATCCTTTTCCAATTTTTTTTTCTCTCCCTTTTAAAAACAGTAATTGGAAACCCAAGCTTTTCCCAGCCCTTTTGCTTTTGGTCACAGTCTAATGGAAGGAGTTGAATGGGAAAATTTCCTACAAAGTAAGTAGGGCTGATTTTCCCACCAGTCTGGCCTCAGCATTAACTATCTGGAACCAAGACCGTGCCAATGTGATATATTTACTTGCAGAGCAGTATTCAGGCCTCGCAGACTCACACATGCAGTATATGCTTCCAGAAAGGCTGCAATTCTTTGTAAACAAAGCAGACGGGACAGGGGGACCCAACTGTGGGGAAGTCTTTAATGAAAGCACTACTTTTTTAAGCAGTGTGCTGAGCTGCATAAAAATAAGAGACCAGTGATCATGTAGTAGTGGAAAAGAGGCCAGTTTTGAGAGCTGCATGGCGATTAATTCGTGCATGCCCCTCTGCTGGGAGCTGAGCAATAGGGAAATGAGAGGGCAGATTCTTATCTGACAGCTCACCGGCTTCCTCCTCGGCGTCTATAAAACACCCCTGGATGGACCACAGGTTATTAAGGTCTGGGACTTTATTCTGACCACATCCTACAAGGAAACATTTGCTGTTGCCGCTGCTAAAGCATCAGGATGGAAGAGAGCAGCTCTGCTCAGCCAAGCCCAAACTCCTGTGGTCGGCTGGGGAGGAAAAATAAAATAATTGCCACACTTAAGTCAAGCCAAACAGTGATGAGATAGGGAGCGAGAGGAAAGTGAAGTGTCCAAAATACACATGTTGACAAGGAGAAGAACTCAGGATGGGTACAGCTTGTTCTATTCTTTTACAGCCAAACTCCTAGCCTGATTGCAGGCAGGTTTTAGCAAAACAGTTTTGACTTTCTTCTGTAGACCTTAATAAGAGACAACTGTAACTCCTAACCAGCCACTGCTGTCTCTGTCTTGATCATTTCACAGCTTAATGGTAGAAACACAATTGAATAAGGAGTTCAGAGATGCACCAAGAAGCACCATCAATTGCTGCCACTTCCCAAAACAGAAGCTCTGGTGCTCAAACTGCTGGTGCTCGAGTGGTGTTCAAGATGCACCAGCCTCTCTGCACCCAATGCTTGTTGGCACCATGGTGAGAAGTGGGTGCCCAAATCAGGCCTTTATCTCAGAGGCCTGAAAGGTGGTGTTGGGTTTTTCTGGCTTCTTCTCTGCAGAGTGCTGACTAGAAGCCAGGTGCAGGATTCACACAGACACCGAGGGATGGGAAACAAGGGTCTGCCAAGTTGGCCTCAAGCTGAGGAACAGAAATAGTCCTTCCTTGTGGCCTTTGGGCAAGGTGGAGGCAGAGTGGGTGGGATTGTGGCAGGAGGTAGGAGCCCAAACACCTCTGGGTCAGAGTCAAGGTGAGAGTGTTAAAGGCTCCAAGAAGACCATGCCAAGGGCCACTGAAGGATCCCTCAATATAACATCCAGATCTGACTGAACCATCTACCCACTGCTTGACTCATTGCCAAGGGTATGAAGTGCATCTTGGGCTGTTTTCAAAGGAAACTTGCTGGGCCCCGAAATTATCCTTGGGAAATGACCTAGGATGCTGCCACTTCCAACAAGAACATGGGTAGCAGGCTGTGACTGCTGGGGACATGCGCTATTCCGTGAAGCACCAAGGCTGCAGGCTCTTCAGATTCAGCAGGAAAGCCCCAATCCCCAAAACCTACAGCC